TGCTTGTGCATGTGTCTGTGCGTGAGTGAGTGTATGTATGTCAGTGAGTGTCTGTGTGTGTGTGTGTGTGTGTATGTGAGTGTGTGGGTCTGTCAGTGAGTGAGTGTATGTATGTATGTCAGTGAGTGTGTGTATCTGTCAGTGAGTGAGTGTATGTCTGTCAGTGAGTGTCTGTGTGTGTGTGTCTGTCAGTGAGTGAGTGTATGTATGTCAGTGAGTGTCTGTGTGTCTGTAGTGAGTGAGTGTATGTCTGTCAGTAAGTTAGTGTATGTCTGTCATTAAGTGTCTGTGTGTGTGTGTGGTTGTGTCTGTCAGTAAGTGTATGTCTGTCAGTGAGTTAGTGTATGTCTGTCAATAAGTGTCTGTGTGTGTATGTTTTTGTATGTCAGTAAATGTATGTCTGTCAGGGGAGTGAATGTATGTCTGTCAGTGAGTTTCTGTGGGTGGGTGGGTGTGTCAGTGAGTGAGTGAATGTCTGTCATTGAGTGTGTGTCTGTGTGTCTGTCAGGGAGTGTGTGTGTGTGTCTGTCAGTGAGTGAGTGACATGAGGTGGCGGCAAAATAGATCTTTGCCTAGGGCGGCAGAAATCCTTGCAACGGCCATGCTCCTATTATCCCTCCTGAATGTATTTTGCCTTCCACTGTCCTTTCTTGTCCACGCCCCTTCTTGGTGTCATAATCGTGGCTCAACCTCAGTACCTCAAGTACTAAACTTTTGTTTATTCCTGAAACAGCAAGAAGGGTGATTCTTACTATGTTCCATGATAACATTACAGCTGGGGATCCAGATACATGCAAAACCATTTAAGCAGTAACCAGACAGTTCTGCTGGCCCTCTCTTAAGGTCAATGTTATCACTTATCTCAATACTTGCCAGACTTGGGCTGTCTCTAAGGTTCCGCACGAATTGAAATGTGGTTTGTTACAACCGCTGCCTGTGCCTCTCATTCCTGGTCTCATATAGCCATGGACTTCATTGTGGAGTTGCCAAGGGATATAACACAATACTCATGGTCATAGATCAATTTTCTAAAATGGCCGATTTTGTCCGGCTTAAAAAATTACCTTCCTCACAAGACCTTGCTCTGATTTTCATTAAGGAAAGAGTGAGGTTACATGGGATTCCTCAAAACATCATTTCTGACAGAGGTTCTCAGTTCATTTCTCGATTCTAGAAATCTTTTTGTAAAGAATTGGGTATCGATCTGTCTTTTTCTTCATGTAATCATCCCCAAACTAACAGGGCTGCCGAAAGGGCAAATCAGTCTCTGGAAGTTTTTCTACTTTGTTTCGTTAACGCTTCACAGGATAATTGGTTTGACCTCTTGCCCTGGGCAGAATTTGCCCAGAACAACGCTAGACACGACTCTTCCAAACTTAATCCTTTTTATGTTGTATATGGTCTCCACACTGCTGTCTTACCTTCTGTGTTCTCTGATACCGATATCCCCAATCTGGAGGAGCATCTGACCTGTATGAGGAAAATATGGGATCAGATTCATACTGCCTTAGCTAACACTGCTTCTCGTTTTAAGCTGCATGCTGATAACAGACGTAGTGCTGCACCTTCTTATCAAGTAGGGGACAGGGTTTGGCTGTCCACTAAACACATTAGACACAGGGTACCCTCTATGAAGTTCGCTCCTAGATATATTGGTCCTTTCCGTGTGTCTCATAGGATCAATCTGGTGTCTTTTGTCTTTGACCTCCCTGCCAACCTTCATATACCTAGGACATGTTATGTTTCTTTATTGAAGCCACTTATGTGCAATATATACACTACTCCTTCTGCACCTCCCCCTCCCTTGGTGGTTGCGGATCAGGAAGAGTACGAGGTCTTGGACTCCAGGTTCTTCCGTGGTTCTTTGCAGTATCTGGTGGAGCAGCCAAGTCCAGCTTTAGGAAGGCTGCTGGCCGCTGAAAGGTGGCGCTATATGATGTCACTAGTGATGTGAACGTGTATGCCCATCGCGTTTTTGCCATGCACGCTTGTTCTGGGGTCATGGGACCCAAATAGCAGGGTTTATTGGGTTATTTAAACCCAAACCTGCAGTTCTTCAGTGCCCTGTTGTGGTTTCCACAACAGTGCCCTGTTGTGGTTACCCAGGATGTTGGGTATCCGAGTGCATGTTCCTGATACTGTTTATTGGTTATTGATCTTGGCTTAGCTTGACTTCCCATATTTCTGGTATCCCTGAACCTTTGTTTTTACCGTATTAGTTCCTTTCTGTATTCCTAATCTAGGCTCGTGACTGGTTATTCTTTTGCGTTAATCCGGCCATTCTAATGCCCGGTAATACGTTGTTACTGTTTGTTATTTGTTATGTGTTTGACTTAATTCTACATGTTGGGCCACTGGTTCGTCCTGACAGAGTAAATGGTTATAACTTTGTTACAAAAGGAACACTTTAAGCACCATAACCAGTACATTATGCTGCAGTGGTTAATGTGTCTGGAGTGTCCTGGCATTCGTATTGCCCTATTGTAAGGAAAAGAGGATTGATTTTAGCAGAGTTTGGTAAGAATCTTTTAGATTACGGTAAGCTTTGTAGGCTATTAGTTACATTAATTTAATTACATTAAGCAGTGAGTTTTCTAGTTTAGTATCCAAATATTTAAAATAGACGAGAAAATGAAAGCAACCCTTTCAAAAGTGAGCAAAAGGAAAAGACAAAAATAAACCAGATTGACCTACTGTAATACACACAATATAACTGTGTTCGGTATTATATGTTCTATACCCTCAACTATTAACTTATGTACTATGTAGCAGTTAGGTGATCATCTTAATTTACCATAAACTGTAAATTCCTTTGTAAAATGACTTTATTTAATAGTAGGAGGCAGTACCGCATTGTGGCCACTGAGTGAAGACAGATGTTCATAATTGAATAAGGGTAAGTTAGTATATTAAAAATGTAAAAATCATTTCCCAAGAAAGAATGTGCATAGGGGATTTACATACTTGATCACTGAGATGTCCTAAAAACTCTCTGGAATTCAGTTAGTTCCTGAACTCCTTGTTCAGACTGGATGAATCAACATACCAAAACCTTATTACAGCTACCTCGCCATCTCTACCTTGAACACAGCTACCCACATCGTGGGCCGCCTCATGACAGGGGGAACATGGGGGCGGCATCCCGGTATGACAGGAAGTGCTCTCTTCCTGACAGACTGCTCGGCCATGTTACACACATGCAGGAGGGGAGCAGCACAGCTCTCCCCTCCTGCCAGACACCTGTGGACCTGGGCCGGTGTGGCTGTGCACCGGCCCAGAAGGTATCCAGGTAGCCAACGGTCGCAGGGGTCATGGCTATGGCTGCGCCCCCTGGAGATAGCTCCTACCCCTGCGACCGTGGTAGGTACGCCACTGCATAGAATACAGTTCAAGACTCCTGCTCCTCCGTATGTCAGAGCCAATATGCAACCATAATCTCAATTTTCAATGCAGTCCCTGATCTCATAACATATTGTTAAATACTACTGTTTACTACATTGTAAATTGTAGCAGATGCATGTACAATTATTCTACTTGTCTGTGCACCCTAGCAATTGATTCACCATGTACCATGTTCCGATTACAATGTATGTAGAGATACCATGATTTACATGTGGGATATTCCCCCATTTTCACCACCCAGAACGTAAATAAGAATAAATGTAGAGGTAGTGGAATTTGTTGTAGAGATGTTGGATGATAGTTCGTTTCAACATCTTTTACCAGGACAAGAAAAAAGTTATATTTGAGCATGCATTACTGTTATTATTGCTTTGGCAACTGCCAGTAAGGGGTGAACAATTTTTAACATTCACCACCTATACTCAAGGTTTTATTTACTAAAGTGAGAACTGAAAGTGACTTTAAAATTTAAGGTCAAAATTGAAAACTGTAAAAAAATTTCCAACTCTGCTATGTTTTCAGTTCTGCTACTCTTGGTCTTACAGAATTCTCTCTTTAGGGAATAACCTTGTCACCATATAAAGGATATAAATATAGGAGGCCATGATGGATTAGAATGTTAAACAATATTAATAAATAATGTAAGCAGGGAGCACTGAGCAAGGAAGGGGTGGGGGGCAGGGTGGTGGTTCCTTGGACATAAAGGGAAACTATAGTGCCAAGAAAAAAAAGTTGTTTTCCTGGCACTATAGCTCCTGCAGTGCTTCCTCCATCGCACCCACCCATGGTGATGCAGAAGGG